AAAATTATAGTGGTAAGTCCTATCTAATGTTATGCATTGTACGTAACGTGCACAGCATAGCGGTTTATGAAATTTGATCTTACATTTATGTATACATGTAAGTTCACAACTAAATATTCAAAACTTCTAATATCCCAAAAATGTTATTTTCAGAAATGAAATTTTGTGAATATTTTTGGTACCTTTAGTTAACCAGCAATCTGAGGGACTGGAAATAAGGGCATACCCACGAAATTGTTATAAAAGTTTTTACATGTTTGAGGGAACTAATACAGATCAGAGTGCTGGTTTAAGGGTTTAATATATCCCATGGGACTGAAGAAACAGTCTCTTCCCAGGTACTGAGGGAGAATGTAAGTGTTTACTCCTTGCTCTCACCAGGACAGAGAAATTGGAATTGAAGAGATTACTCCTTAGGGAACTGAGAAATGAGAGTAGTTGGGCTTGGTTACCTAACTTATGCAAGGGTTAGATAGGAATGTAATGGGTTACCTTGGTACTTTACAATGAGACTTAGGAAAGGGAGGTAAGGGCTACGCTTCCAAGGGATTGAGGATGGGAATGTAAAGACTACCCTCCCAAGGCAACAAGGAATGGGAATGTAAGGGCTACCCTCCCAAGGGACTGAGGTTTGGGAATGTAAGGGCTACCCTCCCAAGGGACTGAGGTTTGGGAATGCAAGGGCTACCCTCCCAAGGGACTGATGTTTGGGAATGCAAGGGCTACCCTCCAAAGGGACTGAAGTTTGGGAATGAAAGGGCTACCCTCCAAAGGGACTGAGGTTTGGGAATGAAAGGGCTACCCTCCCAAGGGACTGAGGTTTGGAAATGAAAGGGCTGCCTTACCAAAGGCATTGAAGAATGGGAATGTAAAGGCTACCCTCCCAAGGAACTGAGGAATGGGAATGTAAGGGCTACGCTCCCAAGGGACTGAGGTTTGGAAATGAAAGGGCTGCCTTACCAAAGGCCTTGAAGAATGAGAATGTAAAGGCTACCCTCCCAGGGGACTGAGGTTTGGGAATGTAAGGACTATCCTCTCAAGGGCCTGAAGTATAGGAATGTAAGGGCTAGCCTCCCAAGGAACTGAGGATTCGGAATGAAAGGACTACCCTCCCAAGGGTTTATGTACACACATGTACTATAGGATACAAAATTTTAATGTCAATATTAAATAACAAGCAGACAACATTGAGTGACAGTTGATTAATTTATGTCCTTCGGAACTCTAATTGAAAAATGTCTTACTTTAACAATGTTTATGTAATAAGAATTTGCACAGGAAAAGTGACTAAACCTTAGCTCCATAACTATACTGACATGTTATTGTTTGTATCTTTGTGCTAGGGAGTGAGAAGTACACATGGACTTGAAGCCCCCCTCTCTAAGGATGGCAGTCTCTTGGTCTCCATGGAGGTTAGCAATTTTACTTGGGAAAAAATAGATTATTGGTATTAATATGCTGATAAATGTACTTTTGTTTTGATGAGCTAATAAATGTACCTGGGTTTTGATGAGCTAATTAATGTACCTGTGTTCTGATGAGCTTATAAACATACCTGTGTTATGATGAGCTAATAAACATACCTGTGTTTTGATGAGCTTATAAATGTACCTGTGTTTTGATGAGCTTGTAAATGTAACTGTGTTTTGATGAGCTAATAAATGTACATGTGTTTTGATGACTACACTCAAGGTAACATCATGATTTTCAAGAGTACCAAATTTTGAGATATGTTGTATCATTATGCACAATTATATATTCATTATGGTAAGTTTGTATCAAAGACACGTTTTAATTAACATTAATTTGCCTTCATGCAAAAATTATTCTTGATATGATCTTTAGTTTTTAGTTTTGCCAACACTACAAGAGATTTTTTTTTTCAGTTTATCAGATTTTTAACAAAGTCAGCGAATAAGAAACTGGAGGAAAATTTTCTAAGAATCCACAAGTAAGTATGTATTCTCTCACTTCCACAGTAATATCATGGCAGTTTATTAATCTGTGAGACTTACAATGCTGTCGTAATCAATATCAATATAGATTTCTACACATATCAGTATAGGTACAACTGCAAGTTTATTGTTCCTGGTTTGAATTTGAGTTGTTTCCCCTTGACCAGCACAAAATAGCTGATTTACTGTCGATAAAATTTTGAAATAAAATTTTACAGATATTTATTGGTGTGATCATATGCTAAAATGTACCCGGTATTAGACATTATAAACAGGAACACTACCAGTACAATGTTTGTAAATACTTTGAATGTAATTAAGTATAACTGATGTACAGGTAAAGGAGTACCTTTATACTATTCACTATACCAAGATAATATAGTTACTGTGTTCTATATTTTATATAAAGGTCGACAGTGAAATGAAATACACAATTTTGATTTGTATTAAGCAATCAGAAAGTGAAAAAATGTGTAAAATGACATTGTGATTATAAGGTTTTTTCTATGTGAAATAAATTTATTCGGGTCATTCCTTTGCTGCAGATTTTTTGAAAGTGTGAAGAAAATTGATGGTATGGAGAATAAACTTGCCAGAAGAGAGAGGAAGAAAAAAGATAAAAGATCAGCTGGAGATGGTGATGTGGAGTTTGTGAAGAATGTAAAGAGTAGTAATAAGTTTGTGGAACCTTCACGGGGGACAAACAGTGGCAACAGTGTATCTACCCCATCTGATTTAGGCATAACGATTGGACAACGCTCTCCCACAAAAGTTGGTACCATTAGTCCTGGAGCAACAGAAGATAGCAATGCAAGGCGTACCAGTAAAACTGCAGACAGAGGTAGCTCTGGGGCTATAGATGAAGAAGATAATGGTACAAAGGGAAAATGCAGCTGTGAGGCTGTTGATAAAGGAGGTATTGGTGCGAGGGAAAGCTATGGATCAGATGAAGGTAGTAGCAGTGGAACACCAGTGAATGAGGATTCCTCCATTGGAGTAGGTAGTGGTGGGTTTGATCAGGACAGGTATGGCCAGGATGGCTCCAAGTATCATGACACAGTGGACATAATCACAGGAGACATGAGCACATGTCTGCTGTATAAAGATTTGACCTGATAAAATGAAAAAGTTACACATGAAGACTGCCTCTCCAGAACTATGAGGATATTGTAGCCCTAGGTTGTGGAGGTAATGTGTGAAATATGAGTTCTGTGATATAGTGATTTATCTAAGGTTGGAAAGTCAGTCATGGACATTACTGTACAATATCTTTGTTATCTTAAGAATTTTCCTGTAGTACAGTATAGAGGAGCTATTTGAAGTTAACATCTGTAACTTCTATTATGTATATAACTTCAAATTATTTTGTATATAACTTTATACACATATAAAGGTTATATTCACATAAACTGCCAATTTCATGCAAGGCTGATGCATGATTTTGTTAAAGATACTTTTCTAAATCATTTTGAAACATTGAAAACAAAAGGGGTGATTATTCTCACCCTAATCATTTTGAAATATGAAAAAAAAAATGGTGAATAATTCTTCCCATGCGGTACACCAGCATTACGCATTCAAACTTCTCAATTCCATTATCGACACAGGATTTTGTAATTTCATATAGATTATGCAACATTTTGAATATTTATCTGTAAGTGAGGATTGATTTTTTCCCTTTAATCCATCAGTCACATAATATAATATTTTTTTAATTGATAAATACAATAGGTTACAATAGGATATTTTATTGACACGTGCATTAAATTGCCTCTATATCCATATCATTACTAGTATACAGTATGAAATACATAGTATATTAGGTTATACCTCGGTTGACTGATTTATAACTGGCTAAGTAATTAAATTTTATCTCCCGATTTTTTCAATAATTATCTAAATTAATTTCAAAGTCTACTACTGTTTTGGATCTTATAACCGGCTCAGGCAGGTCAAATGTACAACATGATTTTAAGATTGTGCTCAGTTTTGAAAAAGCAAAAAAAATATTGGTGTCTCATACCAGGAGAAAGTGTGTTCGAGTGATCCTTGCCTGGCTGTCTATGTACAAAAGTGGTTGTAAGACTATCCCTACAACTTAATGCAGAATTCCCAAAAGGGAAAACTATTGACACACATATCTATCCTGAAGCTTGCCAGGATGAATTTTGACTATCAAAATGCTTCTGTCTCCAAAACTGGTCAACCATAACGTTTTCATGGTTGTGTTTAAATTGTTCATACACCAAAAACAATAACATCTGTGAAAGTTCTAGTAATATCCAAAAGTTGATCTTTTGACCATGTGACGTCATAAGAGAAATATCTCCCAGTCAGCTGGTGCTAAAATACGATATAAAACGACAGATTTCTGATTATCTTTCAAAACTGAATGCCATTTGTACATCCCCATTGTTTTATGAACCCATTGCCATGAGTCACATTTGGTGTGGGAAGCGGCATAGACAATACAGTGCAAACAGAACCCCATTACCAGCATTGTAAACACTTCATAATTATTTCACGAGGGAGCTTTCCGGATTCTTAATGATATGTGACGTCATAATAAAAAGTTATTCCTTGAAACAGAATGTCTTCACTTTTTACGTTGTTTAATAATTTCAGACCTTCGCTTTGTGTAGTGTTGATGTATATTAAATGATAAATGTTCTCGACGTTGTTGAGCTAAATATAAAATCGAATCCCGGATCTTCTCTTTCCAAGGAATTGGAATAAACATTGACCTTTTTGGCCAATTAAGAACTTGGACAAACAAGAGTTAGCAATGACCTTGTATTAAAGTTAGTTACTGAAGAGTTCTAGAAGGACAATGCAATTGTATGGCGCAGTTTTGATGGTATGTTTTTTGTACAGAATTGATTGTCAATGCCATGATCTCGGAGACTGTAATGTATCTGGGTTCATATATCTTCAAATGAAATTGGAAAGTTGTAGTGAACAGTCGTGTCGTTCCTTGGTACATAAAGTTAGGTAGGACGGTTTAGTGCACGGAGATTGATTTTAATTTTCATAGCGAGGACATCCATCAATTATCTGTAGCGACCACTAATTGGTTTAATCCATCTATGTTATCGATCAACGATGACAGAATGGGCGAAGATACCTGAACCGTCACGTGTGCGAAATTAACATCTTGCTATGTTGTTGAATCCCGACCTTGAGTAGATAAACAAAGCTATGGAATCTCAATGTGATGGACATTTCGGTATTAGATATCTCCACGTAGAGATCGGACATACGATATATGTATATATACATACAGTGTGTATTACTTCGGACTAAATTGCTGATTCAGCATCCGGGATCTTGAATGGATAGTCTGTAGGTAGTGATGAATACAAAAACACCGGAAATTAACAAATGAGGAAATCTGGCTAAAGATGTCAAACTGACGTATTGGTAGTCTCAAATCGAAAAATAATGAATTTTTGTGATGACCGAATACAGTAATCGCCAGTCTTGTTCAAGTCAAACTTTTTAATAATGAAATACAGCAAAAACATTCTTTAAAAATCGAACACTTAATGATTTTTAGAGGCTAAGCGATTTTGTTTGTAAAGAAGATTTGGCACCGAGGAAACATGCTAACGAGGAAAACGAACCTAGACGAATGACAATAGAGCTTGCTTTATTTATTTGAGTTTACACATACAGCCGTACAGATACATCGAATGAGCATTTGGAATATTGATTTATGTGTGATTGTATCCCTTGTTATTAATGAATTAGAATGCGTGTATTTTAGATATGAATGTAGGCGATCGAGCCTGCCGATTTTCATTCCTAATCATGGAACGTTTCATGGTATGACCTTGTCCGTCTGTCTATCCGTCAGTCGCAATCTTTCGTTTCCTTGTTTCTCCATCTGTTTTCCACCGATCACTTTCAAACTTGGTAGGTTTGTCACCATGACATAAAGTTTTGTTTTCCTGTACAGTAATTGGCTGAGGTGACGAACACTCACGCACAGCCAGCGACAGGGGGCGCTACGTGTGTGATCATTTGTTTGTCGTTTTCCCCCTCTTTTGTAATAAACTGTTTGATATATTGAGCATATATTTGACTCTCTAACATGCATTACGGTAAATTTACTCTTTTGTAGTGATGTGTATACGGTGTCATTGGCCCCTAATATACGTTGGCTTTTTACTCCAACAAATCAGGATGTGAAACGACTCTGCAACCTTGATAAAATCAGGCTTAGGAATCATCCATTAAATTCATTGTACAATTCCATTTTATACAGTACAGAACAAAGTCTTTTTTAGATACACACTCTATACTGCAAATATGAAAAACTGGATCATTTAAGAAACTATTGATCATGTTGTAATACAAAGCTTTCATTCAAGACCTAAGAAATCATACAGACTGAAAATCTTAAATCATTAATTGTTTTTAACGATTTTATTAAGCTTGCTTTGACGGAAAATATCTGAACACATTTCCGAAGTAACAGGGATCAATATATTATGTTATTTAGAACATAAATCGCTTGGGTAAAGATTTGATTTATCGTCTAGATCAATGGAGTGACCATTGTCGACTGAATTGAGTAGAGCAGAATGTTTGTAGTAGCATTGTGAATGAATTTCAATGACAATTTGGTCAGATCTGGTGTACTTTAAACTAAAACCTTGATACAGAGTCCTTTTTTTACTAAACATTGTCAAATATTAATCCGGATAGAGCTGACCAATTAATTTAAATAAAGTACTTTTTCCAATGTCACGGTCAAAAAGATTTACAAGCCGACGTAATGACAATATTATAAGTGCATGCGGTATTGTTTATGAATTAGGATTTTCTAAGCACCATATTTATCAGTTATGGGTTATATGTATCTTACTAAGGTATAAAATTCTCCATTTTATCAATAAAGTCGTATTCCTAATTTGAAGGTAAGATGTGTCACGCCTGCATTCTGATGTTATGATATTATAGGATGTGTAACAAAACTATATATAAAGAAAGGTAATAAATCAGTGACCAGGACTCGGTAGCAACCATATACCCGTATTGTTAAATAAATCATTTTCATGAGGTGCTGTTATCGTAAATTTCAAAGGGTATCTTTAATCCACTAACTCATATGTCCAAGAAGTGCTGCGCAGTTAAAGCGACACTAATTCTATAGTTATGGAGTTCTATACTTTGAATACTTTCTACTCACATAAAACAAAGGTTTTTTTTGTTTTTTTTTCCAGATCTCGAAATTTGATATCTTCGAAAACATTATTATACAACACATTAATATAGGTATACCTTGGAATATATACGTCTCGTACAAATGATACAGATGACATGGACCCATTTTTCAATAAATGTGATTTACATAAATATGTCTTTTATATATATAGACATCGACATTAGTAGATACCCAAGTTCAAATGCATTACCTGAATCTACCTCATGATCTACGTGTTTGCAAAACCAACCGTTTTTGAGACAAAGCGTTACTGTTATATGAAGACTCGAAAATATTATGTTATACATGTATACATAATGGATTAACTATTATTGATTTGAAATGTTTGATCTTGCGACTCCGCCATCAGATATCGAGTTTAATCGATAGGCTAGTACAGTTTGTGTGATAGTGATGGCTTGGATAACCTATATTTGGCTTTACGACACTTCAGTTATACACATTTTAAAATCGTATCGATAACACCAGTGTTGTTTACTCGAATGGGACAGTTGATACCCACATTATCAACATCTCGTAAGCTTGTGATTAAACCATTGATTTATCTATTGTTAAAATTTACTTCCCTACATTTGTTATTGAACATGGATGTATTTGTTTAAATGGAATTAAACAAATTTATACAGGTATGCATATAAACATTCATCAGTGACAGGAAAAATCAATAAGAGTCGTCATAGAAACTACTAAAAGCACGAGATCAATAAGATGCATATTTAGTTGTAATATAAAGTGAGTTATAAAAGATGCGTGAACTAAATTATGACATAAAATGGGGATGACATATTGATTTTCAAACCATACACATCGACGTTTAAGGCAAACTTCTTTAAGATTCTGTAGAACTGGATGATGTGGATAGCAGTTTCATAAGGCCCCGAACCCAGATATTACTTGTCACATGTGATTAAAATATTGATCTTCTTTCTAAGTTTTAGAAGTGCCAGAAGTTTAGTTGTTTGACCAGATAGCACCTTTGATGGTATATCATATAGTAACCTTGACATATTTACAAGTTCACGGAGGTTATCTATGTCAAACCAATTAAATGATTTGCTTCACGAGGCCCCTGAATCCAAGAGTATTGATACTTGGCTAACTAGGTACTTGGGGTGGAGTGCTATGGAATGGCATTGATCTGTCCTTGTTCAGAATGAGATTTATCAGTTTGGTATAGACATATTTAAGATGTTAAAATATAGTATAAAGAGCTTTGCTTTATTAAGCAATGAGTGCAAATATTCGCCATATGGGCCAAAATGTAAATTCATCTGTCAATTTGTCCAATCGTCCCAATAGCCGACTGTCTAAGGGACAGCTGATGTTTCAACCATTTATCCACTCAGCCGCACACAGACCATGACACTGTTTACAACCGCATGATACACTAAAACAACACGAAGGCACCGAAGAGAGACTGGAGTCGAGGCTTTCAATATTTTAACATTTGCACTCTTTGCTTGATAAAGGAATTAGACGTTTCCGTAAGCTTGCAAAACACAATTTTCAATCGCTGCTTGTTTTAAAGATAACGTCTTCTGACTGGTCTAATTTCAAGGTTAAAGAAGTCAACTATGTTTAAACATGTAAAGAATCATATCAATATTCAGGAGACTCGGGGTCCTTTTCATTTGGAAGCGGTGGCCAGATTTTAATGAAAACTACAGCCCCAGGAGGGATCATTACAGTATTTGTAATATCATGAACTCTGACACTATATTTCTTTTGTAATGTACGTATGAACGTTATTCAAGAATCATAGATAAAGACTATGTTAATATTCTTGCTTAATATCGATATGAGCGATACAGGACGAAAAGGAACAGTGGCTAGCAAACAGATAAAGATATCACAGACACAATGTTACCGATAACAGTAGTGACTACAGAAGTGATGAAGACGTGACAGACACAATGTTACAGATAACGGTAGTGACTAGAGAAGTGATGAAGACGTGACAGACACAATGTTACAGATAAAGGTAGTGACTAGAGAAGTGATGAAGACATGACAGACACAATGTTACAGATAACGGTAGTGACTAGAGAAGTGATGAAGACGTGACAGACACAATGTTACAGATAAAGGTAGTGACTAGAGAAGTGATGAAGACATGACAGACACAATGTTACAGATAACGGTAGTGACTAGAGAAGTGATGAAGACGTGACAGACACAATGTTACAGATAAAGGTAGTGACTAGAGAAGTGATTGAGACGTGACAAACACAATGTTACAGATAATGGTAGTGACTAGAGAAGTGATGAAGAAGTGTCAAACACAATGTTACAGATAACGGTAGTGACTAGAGAAGTGATTGAGACGTGACAAACACAATGTTACAGATAAAGGTA